GGCGGTTTCAATCAGCAGGATGATCTCATTGACTGTGTAATTTCTTTATGACAATAATAGCTAGTTTTTTCGTATGTGAAACTGATCGTGTGATCCAAGATTTCTCAAGATTTCTCAAGTCTTCTTTCTGCTTGGTTGAATAATTTTATTTATAATAGTACCGCGGTCGAAATACAATTTTTCGAAACCTGACACACTACTGGAATAATTGTATATCATTTTAAAAAGATATACATCTATTAAATTTTTGTGAAAATATTTTACAAAATAAATACTTTCTTATTTTTGCTTATCATTTCGTGGCCATTTGAAAATGAAACACGACCCAATATTGGGCCACGGTTTATAGATTGAAAAACGCATATATTCCTTACTGCAATTATCAACAACATATTAACTTTAGGTATCACATTTCATATCTATATAAGTGCCAATAAATTTAACTAATCCCAAACGAAGAACGAGTAATCCATTCTCCAAACCCATCTTTCTGATATAACGCGGATTGATTAAAAAATGATAAAAGATCTTTGAAAATGAATATGGATATTTGAGCACTTTACAAAATTGTTCCTTTCACAATTCATTTCGAACGCCAGTTTGTCATCGACAAACTCAGCAAAAGACAATGTTTTTTTTTTTTTTTTCTATTCGTTTTGTAATAGAAACGTAAAACTGGGTTAGGATTAATCTTCGAGGATTCACCTAAACGATCAGTAGATCGATCGTGTATAACGTATATACATCTGTCCGGTTCGACAAGTTTTTCCTCTAACGATTTCCCGTGTCTCTTGAAAAGGAGTCTAGTACGTCGTACGTAGGTACACCGATGACGCACATGCAATCCTTAACTTGATGCAGCTGGGTACGATGTTATTGCAAGCGTGGCTGCTGCTGCTGCTGCTCCTCCTAGGTCTGGATTTAATTTTCTGCGCGTCCCCTAATCTACTTCAACCTAGATGCGACGATGAGCGTAACAGGCTTTCGCGGGATGAGCCTTAGGGCTGAGAGTTTACGTTAATAAGACGGGATTGCGTCAAGTGGAAGGATTTTTCTTTCTTTCCTTTTTTCCCCCCTTTACTTATTCTCTTTTTCTCTTTTTCTTTTTTCTTACTTTAATACGAGAAGAGATTTTCTTCAAAAAAAAAGAAAAAGAAGAAATCTCAATTTCATTTGTAGATAATTTCAAACGGACAAAATTTCATCTCTCTAAAAATTTCTTAAATAATAAATTTATATTTTTATTTATTTTAATTTATCTCAACACTGAGATTTGTATTGATTTTAGATTTATATATATATATATATATAAATTATTTTCTGACGATCATTAAAAATCAATCTGTTAAATTGTAAACGCGTATGTTTAATTAGATAATTAGTAAGTAATCAGATAAGGAAATGAAAAACATATATCAATTTTATCGGTATTGAAAATTATTCTCGAAAGGTCGGTACGCAATCGATTGTAGGTGTTACGATTCGTGGAAGATTGGGATCTGCGGGATGTTTTCCATTGAACGTGACGTCTATTCCTGTAATTTCCCGTATAAATACATGTGGGTTAACAGTACGGATACGATTATACGTGATACCGAACGAAAGGGATAGAGATAGAAATAGATAGATAGATAGACAGATAGAGAGAGAGAGAGAGAGAGAGAGAGAGAGAAAGGAGATAGTTGAAGCCACGAGCTTGCTAGGTTACGGTAGGTAAGTACCGTTCGTTTGGACGACAGCTGTTGCAGGTGCATCCAATCGTTGCTCGTTCTATGCTCTCGATCGACTTCAATTGTGTGTGCATGTACATTTGTGTATGTGCGCGTTTGAGAGAAAAGAGGAATCTTTACATCCGTGAAAATGCGAGTTTCTATAGCGGCATATATGCAATTAAAATTAGATATAACAAAAACCGTAATCGTACGAATTTATCACATTTATATATTTAATTAACAAAATGTAACTTCTTCTATTTTGTATTTTATAATGATACGAGACCTAATTTGATATTTATAAAGACGATTTTTGTGTAATAATCAGGAACGATTCGTAAGTATTTGAATGATTTATTTACGTCATACCTGCATCCCTGACATCACGTTTGAAATGATTGATCATCGGAGTTAGTATAACTCCCGCAGCTAGTTGCAAACCGTGAGAGAGTAATTGTACTAATACACCAACGAGAATAATAGTTCTACCCCAACCACCTTCGGGATAGTAATGTTTTTTCAATGTAAGTCTTTTTCTGGCATTGATACCGGTTAAAGATTCTTCATCGTCCTCGGCAATGTCGTCATGTTCAGATCTCACGAGTGTATCGAAATCTGGCAGACCACTGAGTCCACCTTCTAATATGAGTTGTTCGGAGAAACGTCTTTTGAACATTTTAGGATTGACCGTCGGTGCAGATGTCGTTACTTTACTCTTTCTGCGATTGTCAGGAACGCTTGAAATCCCGGAATCGTTTCCGTCCTTTTCGTAGTCAGTCTCGTCGTGTTCTTTTTTTTCTTCTTCTTCTTCTTCTTCTTTAACAGGGACATCGTCGTAACTCGTCGTTGGCTTAAAGGACAGCGAAGATCTTTTCTGTCCCGCCTTCGCTAGGAATCTCGACGAGAGTCTCGATCTCAAATGGTTATTGCACCTACTAGCTGAGGAACATTCAACGATGTTATCTCTCGGTGTCTGTTCAGAGTACCTCCGTCTATCCGCGTATTCGATCTGGCAGGGACGAACGAAATGCGTTTGATCGGAATACCGCCTTTGAATCGGTAAATCCTTATTCACGATCCTCTCGTTCTGATCACTTGACGAGTCTCCTCTGTTGTAGTAACCGATACGATAAACACTACCAATAGAAGAGTTTCGAGCTGACGATGGTGGAAGGAAACTTTGGCAGGTCGATACCGAGTAACTCGAATCCTTCCGTCTGAAACTTCCAAAGGATTCTCTTCTAGAGATCGAAGATATCCTTCTACGTTGACAATGACAACACTGATAACGATAACGACACTGACACTTGTTGTTCGTACCAACGTAACACTTGCATCTGATCAACTTCGTGACTAAATCAGGATAAGAACGTAACACCTCGGATAATTCAAATTCGCTCCATGATCTATTGGTGTCTGCCGAAGTTGTCCGAATTAATTCGCGTTTAGAATCGAAACTCATCGACGACCATGTTATCGACTCCAAACTCGAATTATCACGAGATTTTAATTTTCTACGTAACGACGAATTCGTACCTAAACTTATACGAGAATGACAATGTTCAGCGAGTTGCAAATCGTTAGACTCGATCGTATTTTCATCGGCCATTGCTTCGCTGTATGAATGACGTCGTTTGCGATAAACGTTCTCCTCCGATGGACCGGATACGGACTGATGTTTCTTTTCCATCACTCATTCGCTTATCGGAATGATCTTCCAAGTAGATTTAGATTTTTTCGCTTTAAGAAACGTTAAGATCGTTTATTACGCTCGATTTCACTGCTCGATCGATACTGAATGATCTCGCTAAAGAAAAAAACAAAAAAAAAGATAATAAAATACCGAAGGCGTTGCTTGATCCTTCCCTTCGTCTTTTCTGATGCATCGTAATGCCTCGCACGCAATGTTAAACTACGTGAGACCGCACGACACACACAACCCGTCCCGAATCTTGATAGATTGTCCTGATTTTTCTCACACGCGTGCCATCCGACCTCGTATATTGATTCGAATCACGACCTTCGCCACTTTCATTTCTCTAGTGTGTGGAAAGTGAACTTGATAGATACCATTTTCATTTCGTCAAAATACGTAACTACAAATTTTGTATTCATTTCGTGTGCGTCAAATGAAATAAAATCAAAAACGAATTTGTTCACGTATTTATTCATCGGCATTAAATAAACTGTCACCCGAGCTCATTCAATTAAAATTATCGGGATTAATCAATTTTCTATAACATTCTTTTTGATGATTTTTATACATTTAATTCGAACAAATTTAAGTTACCATTTTCAATGTTTTTGGAAAGGGCTGCTTGTAACCTTTTATTTGGTCTACTTTTTTACATCTGTAGAAAAACATAAGTGTCGAAGGTGACAGGGAGATTTAAAGTAGATGATACGAGTGTGATCGATGGTGATTTGAAGGATTATACCATGGATCGTTGAACGATCAAGTTTTTCTCCCTTCTTATTCACTCTTTCAAACCTTCGATCCTTTGAGAACCGCGATGACATAATATCATATATCATTCAAACCGAACGTGCTTCTTTTTACACGGAAAATTTACTATTTTCCTAAAGGATACGTCGTTAAATAAAACAAACGTTACATGTATTTTTATGCCATATGTGTTTTGTGAAAATTTGTCTGCTAAACTCTTTGTTGTACGTGTATAAAATTCGAGTTAGAAAATGTTGACTCAATTAAGATTTTTTGAAAATTCTTAGCACGAACGAGACACGTTTATCACGTCTTCGTTATAATTTTATTATTATTATTATATATATTATAGTGAAGTAAAAATGTGTATGATAGAAGAAGAAGCCGGGTTCGTAACCTATTCCTAGACAGTATTCTCCTCGAGGATATTCTACGAACGTTTTGCCTCATATAACGCAAAAGTTAAGCCACCGTAGTTCGCCACGGTGGCTTTACAAAATTTTCCACAACGTACCAGTAATATTTTGAACCCTGCCAGAGAGAAAGAAAAAAAAAGAAAGGGAGAGAGAGAGGTAGGAACCACCGCCGTTGCATTTCCAGTTACGTATTTACCCTGTTTAGGGGGTTTGCCTGTTTAGATATATATATTTTTAGGACATAAGTGAATAGTGGATTAGAAAACGTATAAAGTTCAATTTCACCTCAGAGATTTGAACGTCAACAATTTATCAACCATTTACAAAGAAATGAATTTGCCAAATTTTGTTACTTAAAAAAAAAAAAAAATAGAACAAAAAGTAATATAAAACAAAAATATTCCTGCAGAATAATCCTTGACATACCTGCGCTGTGAAGAGGAGGATGATCAAATTTAAGTTCAGCAGAACGATGCCAAGTTCCGGGTGCAGCGAATTGCAATCCTACACCAAGAAAATGTACTAACATGGAACACGTGACGATGACGTATCCCCAACCACCCTCAGGATAATAATGTCTCCTTAACGTTGCCTCTTTACAAAGATCGTATGGTCGACAAGTTTGTTGATTTACTGCAGACAATTCATTTCTTTTTTTCCTACCAAAGTTTAATTCTCTTTTAGCTAAATAACCAGTGGCAAAGGATGCGATACGTCCATCGGGCCAAGTGCTTCTACCGGGAATATTAGATCTATCGATTTGCCTCTTTTTCCTATTGAGAATACTTTGCGTACGTGTTTGTGTTCCATTTATCGAGCATGCACCGTTCGAGGCATCGTACGTAATCGGGGATCGAAATGGATCGACCTGTAATCTTAGTTGTCCTTCCGAAGTGCACTTGGGGCAAGCATGGCGATCGCTTTGCGAACTCGTGCCGCCGATTCGATCGTAGTCAACGATCTCGATATGCGGCGTCAGCACGACCGTAGGCTTTCCTATTTTATTTTTATCTTCATCTTTATCTTCATCTTTCTCCTTTTCTTCTCCTTTCTTTTCTTCTTCTTCTTCTTCTTCTTTTTCTTTTTCTTCTTTTGCTAACTGACTCGTATCGACCAGTAAAGAAGAACCTTCTTTATTATCCTTAACGTCGTCCCTTAAATCGATCGAAGCAACGTCGAAGATCTTCAGTTCGATGCTGCTGTTACTATTGCTGTTGCTGTTGCTGATGCTGCTGCTACTTCTTCTTCTTCTTCTTCTTCGCCTGCTGGCTGTCGAGATCGTCGAGGATAATGCCGACGTTTCGACATAAAGTCGGTGCCGATTGAGCGCCCTCAGCGACGAATGTAACGTCTTCCTTTGAAATTCACTGTGTCGTTTAGATTTTCGATCGATCCCTACTATCCGATCAACATTATCATCTTTTTCTTCGTCTTTAATTTTATCTTTGTTCGTCGAGCAATGTGTCAAAGATTTACCAATGATCTTCAGTTCATATTTTTCTTCTACTTCTTCTTTTTCCTTTTTATCTCGATTTTTTTCCTGATTATTTTCTTCATCTTCTTCTTCTTCTTCTTCTTCTTCTTCATCATCTTCTTCCGATCTATTAGTCGAAATTATAGTAAAAGCACGCGAAAGTGGATCAACACGGACCCGTACGGTCCTTTGCGATCTATTCGGCCAAGAATTGCTATGTCTCATTCCTTGACCGTCCTCTCGACGAACCGTCATCTCACCGACACCTTTCTTTCAATTATAATACGAAAATATCTTATGGACCGTTTCGATCGATTATCATCGAGCCTTTTTCTTTTTTCGACCACGCAGTTATTTTCATTTTCTCCACGATCATCAATTTTCCCGTGAAAAATCTTGATAATCGACAATAGAGTATCTTCTTTTCTAACCACGTGATAATCCATACGACAGTATGTGCAAATAATCTATTTACAATTTTTAATTCATTTATCAATAATACATATTTTTGATTCCAAACGTACGCGATAAAGCTCGCACACTCCGAGGATAACATTTTTTTTGTAGATTTCTTTTATTTTCAATTTTGTATTTTTTTTTTTATATCACCTTTTTCAACACTGTTATTCTTTTTCTCTCTTATTGTTGTTCCGAGTTTTTATTTTTTGTCTATTTGAAAGAGATTGATGTTGTGGGGCAAGGGGGGGGGTTTTAGAAAGAAAAAAAGAAAATACGTTAAGGGTGAGAAGACAAATGTTTGTTCTAATATTTGTGATAAAAACTATCTGGTCAAAGCATGAAGGGAGAAGGAAAGGAAAGGAGAAAAAGGGAAAGTTTGAGTTGAATTGGCAGAGGGAAGAACTGGTCCTGGCGAGTGCGCCAGGATGACTGCTACGCACGTGCTGCTCACTTGCGATCAACCCCTCTCTTTCTCTCTCTCTCTCACTCTCTCTCTCTCTTTCTTTCTGATTCGACGATGGTAAGCGCATGCTTACGAATATTCGACAAAGTTACAGAACCTACCACCGTGTCTCTCATTTTATAAAAGGCTTCTCACATTTTCATATTTTTAATATATTTTATTCAATAATAAATAATTGTTCAATTCAGCTCTCTAACATGAAAAGTAACGATCGAAGAGTTTCTTTTTTCCATTTGGTTCGGATTATTGAAATTTAAAATCGATAGATTGTTTATCCGTAAAATTAACGTGTTGATTTAACGTTGAAATTTATTTTGGCATCAATTAATTGGCTCGAAATTCGAATGCATGAGAAACACGTAAAGACTAATAAGATTTATTGCTGTCTGGAATAATCCCTGCAAATGCGACGAATACCTCGGAGAAATGTTTGCACGATTCTTTCGGGCCGATTTTAGATCGCTACTTCGTGTTCTTTGATATCATTTACAAAAATTTGCATTTGTTTAAAGCTAAAAGTGCAATGTGAATTATTTGTGTTTAAGATTGTTTGCAATTATACAAAATAATAACCCCGTTTATCTTTTTTTTTATCGTCAATTATTGTAATTTTATTTTCAAATTTTTTCATGTAACGCAACACGAGCACGTTGTAATAATCCGTGTTTTAAGCTATCGAATTTAAAAAGGTTAAAATACTCGTTGAAATTTCTCCTGTTGTAACTGACCTAAGACACGAGTCACGTAAAGCCGATTATCCGCCTACCGTACTTCGATTCGAAGAAGCCCAGAGTCGCTTCAAGGGCCAATGAATTTCTCTACAAGGTACGGTTCTTCTTCCCTTCGAGGGGTTGGACCCTTCTTTTATGAATGAACCCACGAGGCAACAAATTAGATTCTTTTACGTGCGAACGATTTGCATTCTTGAAAAAGTAAACACCATTTATACTAATATATACAAAGATTTTACAGAAAAATAAATGTTTTTCTATCATTTAATTTCTTTTCATTTAATTAAATTAAATCTAAATCAAATCATTGATCAATTTTTAAATAATCTTAATAAAATTATAGTTAAATATTTTTTTATTTCAAGTTTTACGTGAGTGTATTATCGTGGGGTGAAATGTTACCCCCCTTTCGTGCGATTAAATCGAATCGACCGTGTTTCTTCCTCTTTCCTAAGAAAGTTTTTTTTTGGCTTTGACAAGAAATAAAAATGGAAAAATAAATTCGGAAAGGTGGGAAATGAAACGGAGGGCGTACGTCAACGTGGCAAACGTTATTAGGGAAACAACATAATTATTATTACGAATATTCGAGTCCGAATTCCAGAGTCGACAGTTACGAGCGGAAACGAGAGCGAATTCGCACGGGGCGGGTGTTAACGATTTTGCGGGTGGAAAAAATGCATCCGCTTGGTGCCGAAGCGAGCAGTAAATTTAGGCAACCGAGAATGCCGTGGACGTTCCTTCCTCTCTCTCTCTCTCTCTCTTTAAAAACTCTACATTATTTATCTCGCTATTAAATCCACGCTATGAAAACAGAGAAAAAATAAAAAAAAAGATAATTTTTTTCGAGAATGACAGAAAGATCAAAATAAAAAAGAAAAAAATAGAAAGAAAGAAAAACAAGAAATGAAATCGAAGATATGAGATGAGTGAGTTAAATAAATACAAACGACTTAAAAAAAAAAACAAAAACAAAAAGAGAGAGAAAGAAAGATGTAAAAAGAAAGAGAAAATGTTATGGCTGATAAATTCAGTGAACGTATCCTATCTTAAATCATAGATGATTTAGAACGATAATCTGGTCTGGTACTTTCCTTTTCCCCTTTGGCTAATACATCCTCCTCCTCCTTCAGTGATGCACAACAACGAACGAAAATGAAGAATACGACGAAGAAGAAGACGAAGAAGAAGACGAAGAAGAAGACGAAGAAGAAGACGAAGAAGAAGAAGAAGAAGAAGAAGGAGACGACGAAGATCTCGAGTTATTCGCTATGACGCGCCGGTCGTCCAATTAAGGGAGAGCTCACGACGGGACTTGGCTCGGTTGGGTTTAACGGGCTATAAAAATTGTTGCTTTGACGTTGGTCTATTCGCGGCTTGCGTTGCGTATGCTAACGACAAGCAAAACAGAAACGAAAAAGAAATAGAAAGAGTAAAGAAAGAATGAAACTTTTCGTGATCAAATGTTCTGGTCACGTTTCTTCCTACTTTAGCCAAGAAAGTATTGTTCTAGTAACACAACGTCTTTACTTTTTACGATATTTTTCCATCATCTTCTAGGTGTTCTACTTCGTATAAGTATGATAAATCAGTGTCCATTATTTGTATACATCGTATATAGGTAATATATAAAATATATTTTTATTACACAAAATCTTGACAAATAACTTATATTTTTTCTTTTATTGGAATATCCAACACAAAAATATATATTATATTTCTTCAAAGTTTGAATTATAAATTTTTCGAAAGAAAACCACATTAAAAAGTCGTAACACACACTCGACGAGTTAGATTTGGTTTCTGACCTAAATTTGATGAGTAATATACCTAATCAAAGATAGAAAGATTCAAGAAAGAAATTAAAACGAGATTCTCGTTAAATGGAATGAGGCTAGAACGTTTCAATTATTTCCGGTTGTTGGGTTGACACACGACTCACAGTATACCTTTCTACATTGAACATGATCCCCTCTCTCTTTCTCTTTTTCTCTCAAATCAAGACACTTATCTAAACGGTTCCTTAAGAACGGACCGTATCGCGAACGGTCGGTGAAAAACTCTAAACTGCGTCTCCGCATGCAGGTCTCACAAGTAAACTCTTCTAAGTTCATTCGTTTGCGTGTGTAACTGGAATTGTTAGCGAAATAAAAAGAAAAAAGTGGAAAATGAGAAAGAGAAAAAGAGATTAGCTCGTTGTCCTTTGAACACGTTCCACGATTAGACGACGATATGTTATCCGTTCTTATTATTACCAAGGAAGTAAGAAACTAGGACGATCTTGATGCGTAAAGGTCAATAGTTCCTACCTTATGAAAGAGGCCATGACTTTAACTTACCTTTTCTCGAACCTCTTTGAATTACAAAACCAGCTTCTTTCTTAGCACATAATAGAAAAAAAAAGAAAAAAAGAATTATCTAAATGAAATCCAAATAGAACGAAAAACTCGACGTAAGGAACGGGAATAATTTGGTTATTTGTTTTTCTAGTTACTTTTTCTTATCACACTTTTATGTATACTTTTGGAATATTATCTTTCCTGTTTTTTTTTTTTTTGTTGCGATATATCGTAGGTATATTTTATTTCGTATAGATCATCATAGATATTCTAAATATAGTATAGATCTTCGTGGAAAGAGATTTTCTATGCATCTTCTCGCGGAATCTATTTAACTCGAATACAGAACTTGGATGGCCGGACGTTGAAGAATCGATGAAGCGACGCCTCGAGAAAGATATCGTACTTTTATACACATACACGTGTACACGATGATCAACATATATTTTTATACAGGATGTTCCATAAAGATTTTTTTTTACTAAATTTCTCCTAGTTTTATATATAATCCCATAATTAAAATAATAAATAAAAGTATAATATATATATAAACACATTTTATTTTCCAATTTCAGCCATTTAAATATTATTTCCTCCTATTTTATTTGCCTCTTAAAAATACAACAATTGCAACTTTATTCATATTGTTTTAAAACATGACTTTTTTCATAATTAAAATACTTGCCAGTATTTCTTAGCAACTTTTCTTGATTTATTTTTTTTCTTTATAGATAGGAAAAGATATTTGTGATTTTTAAAGGAGAACTTTTTTGAAACATCCTGTAGACATAAATGTATCTATAGGAGAGAGTATGAATATCTTTCGGCCGAAGTGAACTTATCCTTCCGGATCTACGTGCATACATACTTTTCTTTAAATTTATGACAAGTTTAGGAGAGAGAAGGATAGTCAAATCGAGTTCAAGTAGAAAGTTAGGATCGAACTTTTCGCGAGCGTACCCTTCGTTACTCCTTTTCTCTTAACTTATTTTTATTATCCTTTTGTGGGAATCCTGTGTAAGGAAAGATAAACGATATATCGAAGAAATCGATGAGCCATATCGAGTGAACGGAAGAAATAATGAAAGGGGTGGAGAATGAAGAAGTAATAAAATGACCGCAAAAAAAAAATTATACGAAGAATGATAGAGAGGAAAAGAAAGGAAGAAAGAGAGAGAGGGAGAGAAAGAGAAGGATAAGAGGCAAAAAAACATTTGTGATGGTGCCACTCGATTTTTATTTGATTGATGCTGTTTATTCTATCTTTAAAAGCTCGATCTTTATTTTATGCGTGTTCTTTGTCAATAGATCCTACTCATTTTCTTTTTTAGGTTAGCATAATTACTTACTTAATAGTGAACTAATTGAAGTAACATTTGTTATTAAAACACATGGAAGGGAAAGAAAAGAAGAAAAAAATGATAGGTGAAAGAGATGATTGTCGAGAACGTCGATCATGCACATGGGGTATGATCGATGTTATACTTATTTCTATATTTCTTTCTCTTTTTCTTTTTTATGCTTATAGGTTTCAAATGAAGTATCACAGATTCATAAGGATGGAGGAGAATGATCGTTATATCTTTGATATTATCACCGGAACGAATTTATTTATTAA